GTGTGTACGTGCGTGCGTGCGTGCGTCTGTCCGGGTGTTTCAACTTGGCACCTAAGCAAGCTCCGGCGCCAAAATTTTGCAGGTGGATTCCCCGGCCAGGTGGCACACCAGGGCCGCGATACCAACCCTCATGCATGTCTGAGCCCCGCGTACGAGGGGTGAAAGTTTTAGTGGGAGAATCGCTAACTCGGGAACCAAAAAAGCTAGAAAGCTGAAATTTTGAGGTTATGTTCGTCGTATACATAGAACTCAGAGATTTCAAATTCGGCCTCCGGGTGTACGTGATTCCCGCGTATGGCCACGTGAGGGTTCCTGGTGTGAAAATCGCTAACTTAAGAACGGGGAAATCTGAGGAGCTGAAATTTTCGGGTAATGTTCCCAGCATAACTACAGCTTATAATTATCAAACTCAACCTTTCAGCTTGTGTGATACTCACGTACGGCCCCGTAAAATTTTTTGACGCGAAAATGGCTAACTGGGGATCCAGGGAAGCTGGAAGGCTCAAATTTTCAGAAAATGTTCCTAACCCAAGTCCAACTTAAATTTTTCAAATTCAGCCCCTAAGCATGAGTGGTAGTCACATACGGCCCCGTGAAAACTTTTAGGCGTGGAAATGGCTAATTCGGGAACCACGAAAGCTGGGTTGCTGAAATTTCCAAGGAATGTTCTCAGTACAAGTGCAACTTACAATTATCAATTTCAGCCCCTTGGTATGAGTGGCCCCGTGAAAATTTTTGGCGGGAAAATGGCTAACTCAGGAACCAGGAAAGCTGGGAGGCTGGAGTTTTCAGAAATTACTGCTAAGACACGTTCATCTTAAAATTATCAAATTCAGCTCCCTAGCATGCGTGGTTCTCAGGTGCGGTCCCGTGAAAAGTTTTTGGCGCGGAAATAGCTAACTTGAGAACCAGGAAAGCTGGGGAGCTGAAATTTTCAGAGAATGTTCCCAGCCTATGTACGACTTAAATTTATCAAACTCAGCCCTCGGGCGTAGGTGGTGTCACGTACGGCCCCGTGAAAATTTTTGGCAGGAAAATTACTCAAGAACCAGAAAATTTGGAAAACTGACATTTCAACTAATTGTTTCCGTTCACACTTCCCGGATTCCGAGGACCAGTATATCACACATTTCTAGCTACTGGGTTCCGAGCGATCTCATTACAGCGTGAAATGTTGCAAAAACGCATGATCGCACGGGCCCGCCCAGTGCGCGTCGCCAATGATTTTGCAAATCGAATGGGTTGATCGAATATCAGTGCCTGTGACACCATACATATACCGGTCAAGGCGATGCCAGATACTACTCTTTCCTGCAATATGCGCTTCAGGATTGTGCCTCTCATCATTTGCTGAAAATTTCAATCTAGTGCTAGCACTTTACAACTAGTGAATTTTATTGGCGCAGCTTCGTTCTGTAATGTAGCCCTGGTCAAGCCTTAGTTGATCGAGGCCGCGAGGTGTGGAATATTTTTTTGCCGACCAGATGAGCAGAAGCTTAGTTAGAAGCGCCACCTGCAGGAGAGAAATCACCAGAACCGAGAACTTATCAAGACTTAATGGGCGAAACATGCTCAGGTGTGAGATCCCAGTGCACTGCTGACACAGCAGGATCCCCGTACTGATTCGCCGAGTGCTTGTGCCATCTTGATTTAACTTCTCAACGAATCTTTAGACTTTGAAATGCCACAGACTGACCGCACAGCACAATGGCCACATCCGCCAGCGCTGCCCGCATGCTAAAGGTCACGTGCAGCATTTAATCGCTTCGCGATCACTTTTTGTTAAGTGGCATGTGCCATGCATTCGAAACCGCCACGGGTTTGCTTCTTAGCGCTCCTCGAAAGAGCGAGGAATCGATTGTCTTGGCAATGTTTGGCTGCTGTTTGTGCACAAGGAGCGAATTGAGGGATTTGACTTCCGAGCATACTTTTTTTGCCATTTTTTTTCCGGGATATGCGAAATTTCCAGAATTCTGAAGATTTTATTATGTATTTGCAGGATTGTTGCTCATTTCATAACAGTCAATGGAATCATCATCCTTGCAACAATGTGCTGCAAGAAAGATAAGGTTCTTTATGAAGTACTTATAAAGTGGCACACCAAGCATTTTACAGTAAGGGATGTGCACCCGTCACATTCTCTTTCTTGTTCTCCGTCTCAGCCCTCCTCCCTCCTTTGCCAAAAAAAGTGCTTTTCTCTATTTTTGCCTTATATTCTAAAACACATTTTTCCAGCATTCAATTTTTGTTTTTTCTATTTTTAGAATGCCACTTAATTTTCACGTTCTTACGGCAAAGCCACTGTATTTTCAACGCGTTGAAGTATAATGGTTTTTTTTCCAAATTTTGGCCAAGTTTTGCGCCTAGTTTGCTCAATTTTCAAAATTTTTCCTTTTCTTTCACGATTTTAGCATATCCTGCGCATGTGCTACTCTCAAACAAATTCCGATCGTGACTCTTAAATGCTGCATTACTAGAGCGCTTAGCTGATTCAGGCGCGAAAACCAATTATTAAAACGGATGGAACGCAACCTTCGTCAAAAGTGAAACATCATTTCATTGAACAGGAGGAAGATTCATTCGCCAGGAAAGTACCCATTAAACGAGAAGCAGGAAGAAGTGCTGAGGTAAATAACTTGCTTAGCAGTTTTCGCGAGAGGAGGGTAATGGTCGGACTCGATATTTACCCACCCTCTTCTTTTCGTATCAAGACTTCTCAGCTTAGGCCTTACTGTACATTTGCCGGCAAATTCAGTGTAATAAATAGCCAGCTGCAAAATGAACTGCCTATGATAACTGGCTGCTAGCGTATCTGCTTGCCAACAAGGCGACTGCTTTCAGCTTGCTGCTCAGGTAAAAAATACACCTGGAAGCTGCACCAGCGAATGATTACTGTTGGCGGAGTATTATCGTTTCGAGCTACACCTGACAGTTGTACCTCCACTTTTCATACGTGAACTTTGTACTTCGATTTTGAATTTTATCGCGATGAAATGCACCCCATTTTAACCTGGCTTTTTTGTTTTGTTCGGAGAAAATGCACTCGTTTCTTCTGCCTTGGCACCGTTTTTCTTTGCCTCTTTTCGGAGCCCGATCGCTGGCGTGAAACTCTGGGTATTGCTGAATCGTATCCGTATGCCAGATGCATCTTTCGTTCCCTCTTGCTGAATTAGCTGCTTTCATTTGTCACTGGCCGTATCAGTACTTGTTCTTATCATACTCTCCAAAGCTGAAGGAAGCTATGTTGAAAAGTTCTCAAATGTTACAGATTCGTGCCAAAGTGCCGGTGAATTGCGAACGTGACGATTATAAGACGTTCAAGAACATCGAGTTACCGTTTAGCAGTGAAGCGGAAATTGGGTAAAGACAGTACAGGGACAACGTAATAATTCGCATCACCGATGTCATGCATCCATTCTCAACCCGTTCTTATTCGTCGTCCCTTTGCATTTTAAAATTACTTTTGTTTCGATGTCTTTTAATTGAGAATTTTCTCTACAATCGTGTGATGAAAAGTATGTTCTGTGAACTTTCGAAAGGCGCAGTGGCTGTGAACGTATGAGCATCGACGCGTTTTTGTTGCGAGCAAACGTGGCTGGATGGAGAGAGCCAGTGCACGCAAACATGCGAGTTGCTAGTAGCTGCAAAGCACTGAAGTTGTTGAATTCTGAGACTGCTCCGCTCTGAAGTCATGCATTGGGAACGTGAATTTGAACTTTTTTTGCTCGAATATTTCCTGTGAAGTGCTGCGCATTGCACGTGAATGTTTTGGCGAGAGATTTTCTGACTCGGAAGCCGGACAAAATAGAAAGCTGATATTTTATGAGAATTTTTTCTGTCTATGTGCGACCATATAAGTTTAAATTCAGCTTCCGAATATACATAATTCTTGTGCTGTTGACGGGGGGCCTCCCGAACTGTACAACATGGAACTGGAGGTTCAGGGTGATGCTTTCTTTTGTAATGCGGTTCTTAAATTTCAAATCCAACTTTTAAGCTCGCTTAATTTTCACGTAAGGATACGTAAAATGTCATATGGGGGATGTTTACTTCGGACAACAGGCAAGACAGCCAAAATTCCCAGAGTATTAATTATCGTACAGTACGCTTACAGCAAACGTCCGCTACATGGCACTATGCGACCACAATGGTTACACTAGTTCATTCACCGTGGTAGGAAACGATGTGCAAGCGCTGCATGCCGGCCCGATGGCTTCCGCATTTTCATATTTCTCTTACAAAAAGAGTTGGAGTGCAAGGCAAGAAACAGATGAACCAGATCACCCTGACTCATCGGTTGCGCAATCACGGAATGAGGTGTCACACGAATTCGATGCTGTTAGAGGGAGAAAACACGATTGAAGCAATGCCTGCATTTGTACTCCGAGTCTATGACTGGTAACTCAGTACATCCCGACGAAGTGTCGCAAAGCAGTTTGGAATGAGACAATATTTTGGGCATGAAAAAACCGATTTAGCAACGCAGGCGAGAGATACGATACCGAACAGACGTCAGCCTGACTAAAGCACATCACCTTGCTGTGGTGCTTTCGCTTTCTATAACACAAAGCCCTTTTTATGCGTTTTTTGCAGCAATGCAATGCAAAAAACGCATATTGACGAGAGGTTGTCTGTGTGTTTTTATGCGTTTTTTGCAGCAATGCAATGCGAAAAACGCATATTGACGAGAGGTTGTCTGTGTGTGTATGTGTCTGTGTGTGCGTATGCGTTTTTTAGATGCAATGCGAAAAACGCATATTGACGAGAGGTTGTCTGTGTGTGTGTTTGAAGCAAGCTGAATAGGGAGGGGAGTTTGACTTTTTGCCTATATTTTGTCACTAGTACTGGTTTTTACGCTTTTTTTTTGCAGTTATGCAATGCAAAAAACGCATATTGACGAGAGGTTGTCTGTGTGTGTGTGTGTGTGTTTGCAGCAATGCAATGCGAAAAACGCATATTGACGAGAGGTTGTCTGTGTGTGTGTGTGTGTGTGTTTGTGTGTGTGTCTGTGTGTGCGCTGCGCGTCTGTACCGATTTTTCATCTCGAGAACGGCAAAAGCTACGGGGCTGAAACTTTGGGACTTAATCTGCATGCACGTACGGGCCCCTAT